ATATATATAATAAATATATAATATATATATATATATATATATATATATATATTCGCTCACCGTGCACGCGAGGGAGACTTTTTCTTTTTTGCGTTTCTTATACTTGTTAGCCTGTGGTATGGACTTGGAAGAACTGCGGCGCGGAATAGAAGTCCAGGAGCAACGTGTGGCGGCGCTCCGACAGGAGAAACAACGTCGGGACGCCCTGCTTAGCGATGTTCGTGCATTTATTGGTGGCGTGGAACCATATTTATTTGATGAATCCAGCTGCGACGTGCGGGGGCTGGTTTGTACGCTCATGAATAACGCGCCGATGGGAGGGTCACCGACGACAGACCTCGCAGGCTCCAGCCCGCGCGATATGGATCCCTCCATTGGCCCTCGATTCAGCAGAGAGATGGAGGAACGCATCGCGCAAGCGGAGGAGCCTCTGCTGCAGGACCAAGTGTCACACAAGGAGCGGCGATCAAGGAGCCCAAAACATGGAAAAAAGAAGAGGGGCAGGCGAGGTAACAAGGAGGGGAAAGAGAGGCAAAGTGCAGTGCGCCACGTAGAAGCGTGTTTGTCGGCCTTAAATGATGCAGAGATTAACGCAAGGGAAGCGCTTACGGCTGCCTTAGACTCCCTACAGCTGGAGCCTTGTGGAGCCTTGACAGCGAAGAAGGGTGTCCCACCATGGTTGTCGGAGGCAGAGACGCAGCATCAGCAAAAAAATATGGAGGAGAGCGAAGGAGAATTTGTGGAGGCGTACTACTCGGACGATTTTGAGGAACTGACCGATCTGGAACGGTGAATGCAGGTTGACATGGGATTTCCTAAAGGCAAGGTGCTGAGTGCTGGACGACGAGAGAGCCTCTTGTACATGGCATATCTTGTTGTTGTTGTTGTTGTTGTGTGTGGGAATGGAAAGGGAGGGAGATTTTCGTTTCTTTTCCAGTTGTCAAGAGTGGGTTACCGCGGCACTGTGCCCCCATATCTTCACCACCTTTTTTGTTGTCGTCGTCGTTTTGTTTTTGCTCTCTGCAACACTTGACGTCCTTATGTCAGGAGAAGGGGCCGGTACGGCGGAGACGCGGGGCGGAATGAGTCACCTCGGCCGCTAAGTCCCTGTGTGTCTTGTACATGACATTGACAACACTTTGCTCTCCGCGTGTCGCCGCTGTTCCGCCACCTACCCCTTTACAGCGGTTAATGGTGGTGTTCTTGCCCCGCAACATAACTTGGTGTACTACGATGCAGAGCGAGGTCGCCAAGTACGGGACTGCATCATCACAGTCCGCCCTCACTCGGGCAGAATTTCTGCATTGCGTGGGCCGGGAGCTCAGCACTACACGCGTGGCAGTCCATTTGGGCGTGTGTTTACACGCAATACACCCTACCACGCAAACGTCATCACGGATCAAGTGCCAAGGCCGTTGATGTCTGTGTTTTTGGCAGTCACGTTTGGCAGCACGCACTGCTTGCGGCCCGGAGGGTCGAAAGACACCGTTGTCGGTAACCACCTTTCCCGCCGCCTCGCTGTTGGTGGACGACAGCTGCGCATTGTTCCTCGCATATGAGTTTTTTGGCGGTCGCGGGGCGTTGGTGGTGCTGTGTTTTTTAAAGGTATGAGGTCCTTGGGGGGATGAGTTGGATGACGTGCTCGCGTGCGGTGAACACTGCGCCTCTCACGACTCTCCTTTTCATGCTCAAGACGAATACGCCGTGCTTGTGGGCGACGGCGAGGATGAAATTTTCACGTCGCTTTGCGCCTTCGTCGCGGAGCTTGTCGCTTTTTGGCACAACAATAGCGAGGATGCCACCAGCACGACCATAAACCTGCTGAAGGACCCACGTGCGGCGCGGCACCAGAGGCGGTGGTGCGGGTACCACACCCCCTTCGACAAAAGGTTGGAGGGTATCTTCTAACACGCCTTTTTTGCGTTGTTGTTGTTTTTTTTTTGTTCTTGTTCTTTTGGCTCCCTTCTTGTGGAGGCGCGTCGCTCACCTCCCACGTTCTGTTTGCTGCTTCCTTTTTGTAGAGCGGTGGTGATGCAGTGGAGCGACACAAACAACCCCCGCGAGGACAGCGTGTTTGCGCGCGTGAAGGCCGCCGTGCGTAGCGGGGGTGGCCCAAAGGCCGTCGTTGAGGCACTTCGACAGTTTCGCGAGCTTGAGGACGAGCAGAAGCTGCGCGGGGAGAAGGGTGTCACGCATAAACTCTTTATTGACTTATTGCGGAATTTTGGCGTGCGGCTTCACAACAGGGAGGCGGACTACTTGTGCACCGCCTTCGACGACGACCAGGACGGCTACATCACCTCCAGCCGGTTTGTGCGTCACTTTACGGGGTTGAATTTTCGACGCCACAGGACCGTCCTCCGCGCCTGGGACGCGCTGCCAAAGAATGAGCGGGGGGAAGTCTCACGCAATGAGCTTCAGAGGCGCTACACTCTTAGTGGGACCGGGGGGAGTTTCGGCGTCACGTTTGCCCCCTTACCCCGCACCCAGAGGGATATGCAGGGCACTGACACCGCTTCTCCCCCTTCCTCTGCTTCCTCCGCTGAGGCGCACGACTCTGGCACGGTGAGCCCGGAGGAGTTTATTGCTTTTTTTGCCGCTGTGAGTGTGGAGTTCCCGTTGGATGAGCAGTTTGAGTTGTACATGCTGCGCGAGTGGGACGCCGACGTCGCCACGCGGCCAACTATGAATGAAACTCAGCGCGACTGGGACTCGGAAGGTGGCGACCCACTCGCCATAACGAAGCGTCTGTGTGTGCAGGATGTACTAAACAACGCGTTAGGCGTTTCATCGAAGAGCTACAACTTTTCACACATGCCACGCGTTCATCCGTACGTGGAGCCGCTGCCGCCGCTAGAGAGGGACTACTTGAGTATCACGAAGCGCGATTTTCGTCCCTTTTCAATGGACGAGAGGATTGAGGCCAACACACTGTGCCACCGCTAGTGTGTTGGGAGTGTTGTTCCGCTTGCTGTTGTCGGCTGGCCATGACAAAAGAAACCTGAGGTCCACTGGGCAGCAGTGGCCGAAGCAGCGGGAAGAAGAAACAAGCCAAAGTGAAACTGGGCCGATATGTATCATGTGGCATTTCAATAAGAAGTGTGGGTTTCTGGAGAAGAATGAAAACGGAAAAAGAGTAAAGCGCCATAATGATGAATACATGAATGCGCATGTGTGCATGTATGTATGAGCGCACATGTAAATACAAAGTTTGTCTTTTTTTTCCCTCTTTTTTTTTCTGTGTGTGCGTTGCTGGTGGTGTTACTGCTTTTTCACTTTCAAAACTTCTTTTTACATGTGTGACTTTGCCACATTTATTTTTGTTCTTCGTTGGCTGTACTCTCATCTGCCTTGTCGCGGAATACGAGAGATGGTGGTTGCAGGGGTGACTGGAGTTATCCCACCGCTGCCAATAAACGTTGCCTGCACACACAACTATATACAACTTTTTATTATTTGTTATCATTCTTTTATGTGGCACTCGTGAAGGGCAGTGGGAGTAGAAACCGACTGGTAGGACTGCTGCTGTTGTGACTGCGTGTGTCCCTCGTTGGTGTGCAGGGAACGTTGCTGAAGTACACACACATATATATATATATATATATACGTGCCTGTAACTGCATCACCACCTCTTTTTGCTTTGCGTCAGGGATGATTCGGATTGCAGAGGGGACGGCAAAAATACTTTCAAGCATCCCTCTCCCCGACGAGATAGCCGTCGTGCACCGTCAGGCAGCCATTGTGGATATTGGCGGCTGGACCACGCGGATTGGGTTTGCGGGAGACGATGCGCCCCGCGTTGACGCCCCCACATGTGTCGTGAAGGGAGCCGAAGAGGAGTCCGTCTCACTGTGTCTGAAGAAGGCTTACGACCGTCGTGCGACAACGGATGTGTCCCGCGTCATAGATAAGGGCGAGGTGGATTGGGAGGCCATGGAGCAGCTGCTTGGCTACCTCGACAATCTGCTGCAACTGAGCTCCAAGGAGGTGAAAACGCCACTGCTGTTGACAGAGAAAATGCTGGTTCCGCGTCATGAACGGCAAAAACTAGCGGAAATTCTAATGGAAAAACATGGGGTGAATTCTATTCACTTTGCCTTAAGTCCTGCGCTTGCGCTGTACGCCGCCGGTACCTGCTCCGGTGTGTCCGTGGAGATGGGGTACAACGCCTGTCATGTCGTCCCTGTCTTTCAGGGTTACCCCTTGTTTCATGCCACACACGCGCTTAATTTTGCTGGGGACTTCTGCACGCGTTACATGATGTCCTCAGGGCCCGAGCTTCCGGCGATGGTGCATCCAAGCCACCGCATGGATGTTTGGGCCTATTTAAAGGAGAAGTACTGTGAGTGCAGCCCGACCAGTGCTCTGTTTCAAAAGATGCGGGAGGAAGGGACCGCATGCACTGCCGAAGGTCATTGCAACAGCAACAGTGGGAGTAGTGATGGGGATGGGACTGATATATGTGGTGCTGCAGTGCAGCACCGGCTACCGGATGGCACCATCATCATTCTTGACTCCAAGCGTTTTGTGCCGGCGGAAATGCTGTTTAATCCTTCGCTCATCACGGGCGACGTTCTCAGCGGTGATCAGACTCTCATTGACAACATGGAGCAGCTCCGTACCTCCACACAGCCCCATGGCCTCCACAAGCTTATTTCAGAAGCTGTAAGTAAGTGTGACCAGGATCTTGCACCTCTGTTGGAAAGCGCAATTCATCTTTCTGGAGGCTGTTCCCTTCTGCGTGGTTTCCCTGAACGCCTACGCAGTGAAATTGACGCCACTCTTCCCCACAACTGCAATGTGGTTGCCTGCACCGAGCGTCGTCATGCCGCCTTCGTGGGGGGCTCAATTTTGGCGTCACTTCCGACCTTTCAAGACTTTTGGGTGACGAAGGCAGACTACGACGAGGTTGGCTCCTCCGCAGTGTTACACCGTTGCTTTTGAATGCGTGGGTAAATGCGTGTTTATGTGGGCTGTGGTGGCGGCAATAGCGCGCGGTCCTTCTGCGTTGCTGTGTGGAAGGCCTGGGACACGTTGAGGCACCAACAGCAGCGGTGGTGGGCTGTAGCCGCGTGGTTGAATACGAGGTTGTGTTTTATGTACAGAAGAAGATAGCCCTCACACGTTGTTGTTGTTGTTGTTGTTTTTTTTTTATTTCAACTTTGCCTGTTCTCTCTCCCTCTGTTTATTTGTGTGGCCCATACAATGCACGTTTGTAGGCGTGTGTCGTCGATGTTTCCTCACCAGTGTGTTTCCTTCTGACTTTCTGCGGGTCCTCCAGTGAGCAGCAAACCACCTAAAAGGTTAACGGCAACAACAACAGCAGCAACAACAACAACAACAACAACAAAAGCAAAAAGAAAAATACAAATACAAAAAAAAGTAGTTACTTATTCCTCAGGGGAGGTGGAGGCGGACACTATAGTTACAAAAGGGAGGAGGAATAGACGGGAGGAAGGGCTGGGTTCACCGCCAGCAAGCAACATTACACCCCGTTTGTCTTGCTTGTGGTTTCCTTTTGTCTTGGTCGCTTGCGTGCCTCGCCCGTTTCTCGCATATATATATATATATATATATATTTGTTTCACGTAGATGGAGCCACTAAGGGCGGTCAGCGTGAAGAAGCCGAAGCGCACCAGCTCCGTGCCGGGGAGCCTGAGGCAGGCTGCGTATAGACGTAGTGTCCCTCAGGCTCTCGTAGATGCAGTGTGCGCGGCGCGTGAACGCTTTGAGCGCTACGGGGCGAGTTCGCTGTTGAGGACCGTCGTAGAGCCACCCGGCGATGGGGCGCGTGAAGCCGCACGGTCGGGTGACAAGAAGGATAGGGACGATCATGCCCAGCAGCCGCAGCTGGATTCGTCCGCTTTGTTGCCGGAGGTGACGTCAACGCCGCCATCATCGAGTGAAGCGAATACAAACGCCTGTGCAGCTTCAACGGAACCCATCGTAGGGGAGGCGGAGCGGGACACTGCGGCAGCGGATGCTGTGGTCACTGATGACGCCACGCCTACTGCTGCCGGAACTCCAAAGGCCCGACTTACCGCCTCGGAGACGTGCATTCCATACGATACCGCAGTAACGCGCGAGGCCATGGGGCGACTGAGGCACGTGTTAAGCTACTGCCCCGAGAAGATTGCTGCATTTCTTCAACACCTCCGCGAGGTGGGAGCGACAAGGGTGTCTGAAATTTCCGCGGCCCCACTTTCTACGGTGCCTAGAGGGAAACCTAGTTCCTCTGCGCATCACACAGCTCGCCAACGCGAGGCGCTGTCGGAATTATGGGGCGAACGACGAGACGCGCCTGTCTCTGTCTCCACCACGATTGGGCGGAAGCGTGGTCTGTTTGGTGGTGTGGAGCAAAAGCAGCTGCACCAGTGTGTCATCTCCGTCCTTAACCGTGTGTCGAATGACGCAGTCAAGTTTCGTGAGGTGAAGAACGAGTTGCTACGCTTACCCATTCCCGAGGCGAACGACGTGATGCTGGCAAAAATTGCTGAGGTCTTTTTTTTTAAGGCTGTGCAAGAGCAACACTTCTCCTGCTTGTATGCCGATTTAGTCTCCGCACTCTGCAAGGTGCCAGAGGGGCAACGACTTGTGGGTGACAAGGCGCAGAGTCTTGAGTATAGGCTGCGGCAGCAACTGCTGCATCGCTGCCAGGTGGAGTTTCAGCAGCTGGAGGAGCAGAACATAGAGCGGGCGGAGAAGGGCGGGGAGGATCGTGATTCGCAAGGGGCAGAGGAGGCTTTTAAGGAGCGACGGGATCGGGCGTGTGGTATTGTGCGGTTTGTGGGGGAACTCTTCCTGCGTCAAATTGTGACAGAGAAGGTGATTGAGAGCATTCTCATGACGGCCTGCACGGGATTGTACGGTCGTGAGGGGCTTCGTGTCCCTCCGCCCTACACACCGACGGAGTCACAGATGGATGAGGCGATCATGCTACTAAGCATCGTGGACACTGCCTTCTTCCGCACGACCGTGGGGGCGGCTATGCTGATGAATACCACAAACGTCCTGAAGTACTGGTGTATACACCATCCGGTGTCGCGCGTTAGGTTCCTTCTCATGAATGCCATCGAAAAACTGAATAAGATTGTAGAGAAGCGGAATGCCGCACTTGCCGCGGCACAAGAGAAACAGCAACAACAGCCGCAGCAACATGCAGAGGAGCAGCAACAGCAGCAGCCGGTTCAGGAGGGAAAACGGTTGGTGAATGGTGGCAGTGTGCCCCAATCCCTTAGTTCATTCAGCGAAGAAAATCTGTTTGCCTCCACAGACGGTCGAACTGCAGTGGCTGCGTGTGACATGTCACCGAGAGGCAGACTGCCGATGTTTGTTGGCGGCAAACCTATCCCTGCCCCACGGAGTGCCGCCTCACGTCAAAACAGCATCACGTCAAGTATCTCAGTCAACGGCCCCACAAACCCCATCCCTCAAGTGATGAAGCAGGTGGCCACGCCGGAGAGTGTGGCCAACCACATGCAAAATGTTACCGTCGCTGGCCGCAGCCTAGACGAAGTAGTGAATGAAATAACGAACACGTTTGCAGACGTCCTCGCTGTGGTGGAGGTTTGGACCGAACGCTGCTTGACTATCGTGAAGGCGGTGAAGGATCGCGCGATGTACGGTGGCTTTCTGTCCTCCATCAATCAGCATCACAAAGGGGCGCTGAAGCAGGAACTGCGCAAGGTTGCCATGGGCGTCTTTGCCTATGCTGTGTCTCAGCGGCTGTACGAAGACTTGAGCATTTTCAAATACTGGGCTGCGATGATTTGGAGTGATGCCTCGCGGGAGGTGCTGGACGAGGACTTGCTCAATGAGGCGCTGCGACACCTCTTGACGAAGGATGCAGCTGCGGTGCGGCTGTACCTATGCGATGTGTCGAAGCAGCTGCAGCTCCTCACTAGTGTCCCGCGGGCACCGAGCGATGAGGCGACGAACTTTGTGCGCTACCGTCCACTGCAGGTTGTTCATCGGCACAACACGCACCGCAAGCAGGACTACGAGCTGAGTGTCGTGAACTTCTTCGATGTTCGTTCCACGAGCATGGAGATCAATGTCTTCTGCACGCTCCTCACGGGGACACCTACGAAGGAGGCTCTGTTTAATGCTGTGCGCTCCTCCGCGTATCTGCGCTGCCCACTAGTCGCCCCTGAGGTGCTTAGCGCCATTCTGCACGCGGAGCTCTGCAGCAACACCACTGCCTACCTCGAGGACAATTTGGATCTGCTGAGTTTGGTTAGCGATGGCCAGGATCGGGGGGTGCGCGAGCTGCTTCTCGTCGCGGAGTTGTACGCCGCCTTGAAGGACGACTCCTCAGAGGCGCTGAGGCCACTTTCTGCGGGGGCGCGCGTCATGGCAAAGTTAAGCGACCGCATCATCTCTGACGAGACACGGCTGCGTGCGCAGAAGTACTTTGAGTCGCGCGACGACTGTGCCCACCACTACATTGGCGCACCGGCATCTCACGGGCAGACGCGCCACGCCAACAGCGACGGCCTCGGCACCATGAACACCAGCAGCTTCACAAACAGCATCGCGCGTCGGCCGGGGACTCAGCGTCGCTGAGGCAGCGCGTCGTCGCCCTGCACTTTGCATTGCTGCAACTATTCTCTTCTCCGACTTCGCCCTGCATGCCCGTCTCCTGCCCCCGTCCCCCGCTTTTTTCTGTTCTTTTGATTAATTTGCCCTCGGGGGCGGGGGGGGGGGAGAACCACCCCCCTCCCCCCCTCCCCCCTCCCAAA